AAACTACCATATCATCCCTTTCTTGCTCAGTAGCTGCAATTTTCTCTACTAGAGTATTCTTTTCTTCGCTAAGGGTCTCTATGGTTTCCTTCAAGTCATCAACCACTATCATCAAATCATCTCTAGATTGTTCAACATCTCCTAACTCTATGATTAGGGCATCTTTATCATTAACTAAATTATAATATGTATCAATTAGAACATTTGCTAATGACATCAATTTTTTCGAATAGTAGGACTTCAGATTTCTCTGAACATCCCTGAAAGTTACCTCATCATTGTCATCCTCTTCATCCTCATCGGACTGAGCCATCAATACAAACAATGAATCATCTTCATTTTGCATTGCCATCATGGAGCTGCTTCCTGCATCTGGTTCCTCTTCTGATTCACTAGAGGAGTCTCCCCATGCAGCAAGAGCTTGCTTCACAACATTGTCAGCTGCACCTTTTCGGCTGAATCGTTTGTCAGGAACCGGGTTCCTTTTGCTACTTTGTCAGAATTGTGTTTGTAATGCTCTTGTTTCAGAAGTGGGCAGTCGTTGATGAAGTGTCCAGGCTTTCCACACTTATGACAGCACTCATTTCTTTTGAAATTCCTGCTGGAACTTCCTTTCTTTGGGATCCCACCATTTTTACGAACCATCTTCTGAAATCTTTGTGGTCTATTGGTTGATTGACTTTCCTCGAAGTTTGGTGGAGCAGTCATGTAGATCCTTTCTAGGAGTTAACCTTTTAGAAAGAACCTGCTCTGATACCAATTGTTAGGAACTATGCATCCACCAGACTGTATAGAGAACCGGGTTGTCTATGAGTTTCCACTGAAGATACTGATGAACCAAACTGTATAGCGATCTGGTCCTATATCAGTTCCCCCCGTGCTAACTACTGAACCAGTATGTAAATGAGACACATGATAAGTTCCTACTGTATAGAGAACCAGATTCTCTATCAGCTCCCACTGTAAGCAACAGACTGTAAAACCAACCAGTATATGGAATCAGGTTCTCTAATTGTTCCACCGTAGCTCGGCAGTAAGTAAAGAACATAGAGGATTTTTACGTGGAAAAATCCTAACTCAAGGGGACAAAAACCACGACCTACACTTGTAGGCTTTCAACTTTACTAACTTGTAAACACCTATTACAAGCCACTTTATAATGACTCTATTACAAAGAATTCAACTAACTTGTGGTTCTCTTACCACAAGCCATTTTATGACTCCCTAGTTACAAAGACTTTAACTAACTTGTGATGCTCTCACCACAAGCCACTTTGTGACTCTTTAGTTACAAAGAATTTAACTAACTTGTGATGCCCTCACCACAAGCCACTTTGTAATAACTCTATTACAAAGACTTCAATCACTCTAACTTGTAATAACACTATTACAAGCCACTTTGTAATAACTCTATTACAAAGGCTTTACAACTCGACTAACTCTAGCCAAGACACAAACTTAGAGGGTTTGTGATTTTGGGTTTCCTAAAAATAGCTTCTAAGAAAGCAAGATAGGAGTTACAATGAAGAACAAATAACAAAGACTCAACAAACCTAAGGACTTAAGATATCATCGATCTTGGATCAGGTCCTTGAGGTTGCAGCAGCTTTGTTCTTGAAAGAGAATTTTCGTTTCTAATTTTGCAAGTCTTGGACAAATTGTCTTGTGCCTTACACCAGGTTTATACTACAAAAGACATTACCATAGTGATGTCAATTCACAATGGTGATGTCAAATCTTGGTTAGTATAAACCTCTTTCCAACGGGAAGTGACTGCTGCACTGTCTGCAGAACTGTTGCGTGTACAGTTGTAGGCAGCCACTTTCTGCAGTTGCTTTCCAGCTGTACTGTTGACTTATACTTCTGTCAGGGGAACACAAAGGTATCAAGTCCCTACTCTGGTTCCTGTGAATCTGAAGGCGCACTGCCCAGATTATCTTGAGTTGATTAACTTGAATGATTGTACCAGGCATGCTTCAGGTCCTTTATCTGGTTCTCTCATGAAGTAAGTTGTTTTAGCTTCCTTGATGGTATTTATATGTGTGTGACATCACTTATAATGATGTAAGCAAGGTAGGTAAAAAGCCTTCCACAGAAAGTTGACTGCTACAATGTTCCTGTATAATAGCGTGTGCAGGTAGCAACTTTCCTGCTAGAGTGTTGACTTCGTACAGTCTCCTCGGGAACTGGTAGGGACCTGTTCCCTCAGCTGTTCCTTCCACTCTTCCTCACTTGAGTCATTGCTATCAGCTTTGGGTACCAAGTTCTTTTCTTTCTTTGGTTCTCTTCTTTCACTGTGTATCTTCCTCTTCATCTAGTAGGTCTTCAGATTTCCAACAAGCTCTTCTATGGTCAGCTCCTGCAAGTCCTTTGATTCAGCAATAGCATTCACCTTGCTTTCCGAAGGGCTGGATCCCAACCTGGAACTTTGTGATCTCAGGGTCTTGTAAATGTGTAACAGGTTCCTTATCTGGTTCTGAATGATAAGTTTATTAGATCATCAAAAGATAAAGTAAAGTACTTGTGCCCAAGGTACTTGCAACCTATCAATTTCCTTTTTTTGTGTACTTATTTGATGGCCTACAAATGTATTGGTTGGAGCATATTCCACCTCTGTTGGACAGAGAGTTTGGGATGCCAACACTTTTGTATGTTCTGCTCTTATGATTTCTCAATAATAGTAGCTATTGTTTAAAAAAATGTGGGTTTCATATATTTTTGTATTACTATTATTATAACGTTACGACACAAAGAATTAAAATGTAATAAATACAAAGATACATGTATAGAAATACAGTCAAATCAAAGGTTTGAACATAATACATTATAGTAAATCAACTAAATTGATGTAAAATATTCTCTGACAATGTCCAAAGACGTCAGTCGTTGGAGGTGAGATCTCTTCGAGATACAGCCTCCATAAGGCACAAATAGAAAAGGAATATGCTTGTCTAAAAGTCTTGTTGGGGTTTTTTTAACTGTAATACTAGGCTTTGAAAAGCGGCAGGGGTTAGTCCTAACCGACCTCTATTTTGTTGTAAATGCTATTTTTTTTAATGAAATAAAAGGCAGTAGTGTCTCTTTAAGGCGCAAATTACAATTAAAAAAACTGGAGAGTAATTTAATTAACAAATTTTTCTTCGTTAATTAGTTAGCTTGTTTCCTAGAATATACAGCTATGGATAATAGGAAAATGATAGGCTAGCTGTTGAAGAAGATAAGAAATGAAGAAGATCGGTACTTTACGTTTTTCTATGTCACTATGGGTTGAAGAAAGTAGTGACTTTTGTAACTCATATAATATTGAAGGGCATTATCAATTGAAATATTTTATTCTGTTGATTTTTAAATATCTTATAGTTATATGGGATTAGTTACATGGAATCTAGTGATGTATTTCCTTTAGAACGTAAAGTTGCAATAGATCTGTTATATTCTACTTTAATTGTCAACCACATCAGTATTATATAATGGATTTACTTTATATCTGGATGGTGTCAGTTTTTACATTATATGTAATTTTAATCCATAATAGCAGATTAATTATTATTTTTACTAAATTATCAATTATTATTTATTTATTAATGTAATTACCTAATAAGTGACTTGTTATGTAAATATTTATTACCTCAATGCATAAAGATAAATTAATTCTTTCACAATAAAACCAGTTTTAGGTATTAAATCAGGTTATAAAGCAATCCGTAAAGGTTCACGTCGATTAATTTTACAAGCACCCAACGTTTACACCTAGTTAAATAATTTAATCGTAGCAATTTAAAATTAAACTAATAATACGTGCGTCTTGCATTCATTATTTGGTAATGCATGGGGATTAGGCTTGCTTTGTTGCCTTCAACATCTATATTGTTTACGGGTACTTATTGCCTAATAATGCACATAACGTCTCTTTGGCCTCTCTGTTTTCTCCTCCTCTTGAGTGTTTTTGTTAAGCAAGTTCTTCAGAGGGAGAAACAGAGAAAAATTCTCTACGATTATGTTGGTTTATCAGGATCTTCTCTCCGGCGATGAGCTCCTTTCGGATTCATTTCCCTACACTGAACTTGAGAATGGAGTGCTTTGGGAATTGTACAAGGGAAGTGGGTTGTTCAGGGAGCTGTTGATGTGAACATCGGGGCGAATCCATCTGCTGAAGGTGCAGATGAAGACGAAGGTGTTGACGATCAAGCCATCAAGGTTGTCAATATTATTGACACTTTTAGGCTTCAGGAGCAACCTTCTTTTGACAATGTTGGTCCAACTAAAGGTGAGTTTTGAAGACTGACAAAGGAACTCAGACATGGACCAGGTCCATCCTGGTGAAGCACAAATGTGGTCAACTCAAGCATGTGAGATGCACGTGAAGGAGATAAACCTAACTTACCAGAAGTGATATCTCCTGATCTTGATCGAAAAGGTTACATATTGGATAAGGAAAAAGACTCGTTACACAAAGAGAATACGGCTTAAGAGAAGGATAGAGTTAGAGGATGAGATCAACTAGAACTCTTCCACCAAAGAAGAGTAGCATCAGAATTCTAGTTAATCTGTATTTACTAACTCCATAAATATCAGTGTTGTTCTCTTTACAGGGTTGCACATAATCAGAAGTTAAACGTGAATTGAGAGCAAAATAGCAAGGCAATTTTGCAAGCAATTTGAGTGTGATTCAAGCGTGCAAACCTGAAGCTACTTGAACCAGATAGAAGAACCATTTCCAAGTGTCTGTCTTTTATTCTAGTTCAATTATAGTAGGTGCACTATAAGAAATATGTTATACGACGACATTTAATTAGTGACACTTATAATAAATGTCGGAAAAAAGTTTATTTAGCGACATATGTTAGAAAATGTGATAAGAATACCGATATTTGTTGAAACATGTCAAAAATATTTTGACATTTGATTTAAATGTCATATTATTAGGAATATAACAACATTTAATTAGTAACATTTATAACAAATGTCAAATTAAACAAGAAAAAATAACTCTAAATATTTTAATGGGCCTTTAAGCTTCTCTTCTTTATACGTTAAAAATCCCTATAACATTCAACCACATTCCTCCATATCTCTTCAAGCCACAACCGTCAAGAACTATGAAAGTTCATTAGTTCATCTCCATATCATTCGCTCATTCTGATCCCAATCCGCCGGTAAGATTTTCCTTCAATATAAGTACTATAAATCTCAATCTTCTGTATTTTATTTCTTGACTGCTTGATAGCCCTAAATTTGCCGTCTATAGTCTTGAGATTTTATTTATTGAACCTTTTGATTCGTTTCAGACATAGAAGGGCCGCCTGCCAGAATTAAAATTCAGCAATTACCGCTGTCAGAATCTCGATTTGCGATTAGATTCATCCACTCTAACTCGTGTTCTGTACGTTTGGACTTATCTTTTCGAGTGAAATGAGATTTGTGATATTTTGGTTTCTGAAATTCTTGAAATTTTTTCTTTCTTGTTGTTTATTTTTGTTTTCTTTTTTAAAGGTGAATTTCTTGCAAAAGAGTCTAGTAACGTTGATATTACTCCATATGAGGTTAAAATGTTATTTTGCTACTTACTTTTTCCCTTAATCAGTTTGGTGATAATTGTTTTTTTTCTATTTTCAGATCTTGGATACATCAGATTTTGAAGGTTGTGAGATCAATTAATGTGAAGGAATCATGATAGGGTGAAAGTACGGAAGACTTCATCAAGAAAAATACATGGATGCTGAAGCTTTGAATTATGTTGGTGTATATGGAAGTTATAAGAGAAAAGTTATGGTTATGTAGTCATATGTTGAAGTAATTCATTATGTTGTTTGAATCGTATATGGTGTACAACTCTTGAAACTTTTGAAATGAATAAAAATGTTTGTAGTATTATAAGATCAGCAATAGTTGATTCATTATTTTCGACTTTCTTACCACATATTCTACATAGGAACAAAAAGGGAATATTTTTATTCTTAATCATAACATAAATAATGATTTTGATATTCAAATATGTCAAAAATTGCAAACGATTTATCTGACATTTGTATGTATGTCACAAACAAGATAGTTTAAGAGCTGAAATTGTTGACATTTGATAAACGTCAAATAAATGTCACTAGATTTTTACCGACCCTAATTTAAAAGTCGTAAAATTAATGACATCGAAATTTCCGATATTTGATTTAAGTGTAAAATAAAAGTCGGTAAATGAATTTACGACATTTAGTTGACTTATGGCGACATTTATATAATGTCTCCCTATCCAATGTTTCTTATAGTGGTATTTTCATATTGTACCTTTCAGCTTATGTAGAAGCAATTGTATTAGGTATTTAGAGTTTTCAAGTTAGAGTTAACTTGAAATTGTCGCAACACTTGAGGTTGTGTGCTACAACGGGATTAGAGTTAATCCTAGGTTTACAAAAGAGTTTTTGTAAATGCAGTTTTTGGCTCAGTGATTTTTGTGGAGAGTTTGGGAAAATCCTACTGGAAAGTAGGTCGTGGTTTTTTCAGCTTTTGAGCCAGGTGTTTTCCACGTAAAATCTTTGTGTTATTTAATATACTTATTATTCCACAATAGTAGTAGTTGGAACACATTGAAGAATCAGATCCTTCTATAATCAAGTTAAGAGAAAAATTGGGTACCACACAAATCACCCCCCTCTTGTGTGGTATTGAAGTATAGAACATCAATTGGTATCAGAGCAAGTTATCCTTGAAGAGGCTAACACCTTAGGAACTGATCAAGATGAGTGCACCACCTGAAAACTGGGAAGGACAATCCACCGCTAGGCCTCAACTCTTTAATGGCCAGTACTATTCCTGGTGGAAAAACAGGATGAGAGATCACATCATAGCATAGGACTATGAACTGTGGGACATTGTTACCGATGGTCTCCTGGCCACTACAAAGAAGATTGCTGAAGGAATAAATGTGCCAAATTCTAGAGCTGACTGCACTGCTGAGGACTTGAAGAAGTGGGAAAAGAATGCCAAGGCCAAAAAATGGCTTGCGTGTGGACTTGGTCCAGACGAGTACAACAGAATTCAAAGATGTACTACTTCTAAGGAAATATGGGACACTTTATAAGTGGCTCATGAAGGAAATCCTCAAGTAAAGAGATCAAGAGGAACATTACTGTATTCTCAATATGAGAATTTCACCATAAAGGAAGGAGAAACCATCCAAGAGATGTATACAAGGTTCACAACACTAACAAATGAACTTAAGTCTCTTGGAAGGATCATCCTTGAAGAAGACAAGGTTGAGAAAATCTTGACAAGGGTTTTGCCAGTTATTTGGGAAAGCAAAATCACTTCTATTCAGGAATCAAAAAACATTGCACTCTCAAGTTGGATGAGCTAATTGGAAATCTCACTGCCTACGAACATAGAAGGCAAACCATAAAGATGGATGCACCCAAGAAGGAAAGAAGCTTGGCCCTTAGAATAGCTGAAGGTGCAGATCTAGAGGAAGATGAAATGGATATGATCACGAGGGATTTCAAGAAATATCTAATGAGAGGAAAGGGTTCTTCAAGAGGTACAACCTTTAACAAACCAAGGGCCCCTGAAAATAGACCAACGAGGGTTGCTACAAATGTGGTAAGACTGACCACATGATCAAGAACTGCCCTCAGCAATTGAATGGAAGAAAGAAAGGGCCGAACGAAGAAGCAGGAAGAAGGAACAAGTTCATCCCAAGAAGAACAAAGGATCAACAAAGGCTATGGTTGCCGCTTGGGGAGAAAGCTCAAATGTGGATTTAGAAGATGAAGATGGAGATGAACAATCACTTATGGCCATTAGAGAATCAGATGATGAACAAGAGGTAAGTGTGATTCATCTCAAAGACAAGATTAAATTTTTGTCTAAAGAAAGGCTATCTGAGTTACTGCTAGATTTCATTGATGAGTCTGAGGTCATAAATAATGAAAAGAAACAGCTGTCTAGGGAATGTGTAATCCTGAAAGCTAAGTGCAAAAATCTAGAATTCAGGGCTAGTGAAAGTGATAGTAAAAATACTGAGTTGAAGAACCAGGTTCTTGAACTTGACACCACTGTGCTAGAGCTTAGATCTGAAAATTTAAAACTGAAATCAGGAACAAGTAAAAAGAAAGCTGATCACACACATCTCACCATAGAAGAAAATCTAGGAAAAATGAAGGATCAGTTGTACAAAAGAGATGAGCAGATAAGAGTTCTAAAAGAAGATCTAAGAAAGGTTAAGCATGAACTAGATAGAACTTGTAAGTGGAATAAGTCCTCTGATGCACTATCATGGCTACAAGAACACCACAGTAGCAATAAAAGAGGACTTGGCTATGGGACCCCTGCACCTAAGTGGGATCCCAAAAGCAAGTACATCACACTTCCTGAGAACAAAATCTGCACACACTGTGGTAAGACTGGTCACTACAAAAGTGAGTGCACTGCAAAAGAAAAGGCTAGTCGAAAGAATAAAACATTTGTTCAAGGGAAAAATAGGCTGCCAGGATGGGCTAAAAAAAATTTAATTCACCCCTTTGCCTATTGAAAGGGACCCAAACTAGTTTGGGTTCCTAAGACAAACCCCTGATTTCGTTTTGCAGGTCCAAGTGAAGGGGAGTAGCCAAATATGGTACATGGATAGTGGCTGCTCAAAGCATATAACTGGAAGCAAGAACCAGTTCCTTTCACTTGTGAACTTAAAGGGAGGTAATGTCTCCTTTGGAAATGGTAAGAAATGTGAGATCATTGGGGTTTGAAAGGTAGGTAAGACAGACTCACATTCCATTGAGAATGTCTACTTGATAGATAGCTTGAAATATAGCCTAATCAGTGTATCACAACTGTGTGACAGAGGTAACTTGGTAGCATTCACCTCTACCAAATGTTTTGTGATAAATCTTATCACTGACAAGATTGTTTTGCAGGGAAAAAGAGTAAACAATATATACATTGTAGATCTATCCACTCTTTCAGAAAATGAACTCACTTGGTTAAGTGTGTTAGATAATGATCCCCTCCTTTGGCACAAACGACTTGGACATGCAAGTCTAAGTCAACTCAATAAATTAGTCTCCAAGGACCTGGTGATAGGGCTGCCTAACATCAAGTTTAAGGAAGACAAAGTTTGTGAGGCTTGTGCAAGGGGGAAGCAGGTAAGATCCTCTTTTAAAAGCAAGAAAGTGGTAAGCACGACCTCGTCGATGGAACTAGTTCATATGGATCTCTGTGGTCCAATGAGAACATTAAGCAGAGGTGATAAAAAATATGTGATGGTGCTTGTTGATGACTACTCTAAGTTTACCTGGACATTGGTTTTAACATCTAAGGATGAAACATTTAACATGTTTACGGCCTTTGTTAGAAAAAATCAGAAACAACTAGGTAATCAACTTGCATCAATTAGGTCTGATCATGGAACTGAATTTAAAAATGCTAAGTTTGTTGAATTTTGTGATGAGCATGGCATAGATCATAATTTTTCTGCCCCTAGGACTCCACAACAAAATGGAGTAGTTGAAACAAAGAATAGGACACTTGAAGATATGGCTAGGACTATGCTTCTTTCTAGTAAACTGCCCCATAGCTTATGGGCAGAAGCTGTAAATACTGCATGTTACATCATTAATAGGTGCATGACTAGACCTCTTGTAGAGAAGACTCCCTATGAGTTACTTAATGGGAGAAAACCAAATATATCCCATCTTAAGACATTAGGATGCAAGTGCTTTGTGCACAATAATGGAAAGGACTCCCTAGGTAAGTTTGATCTCAGAAGTGATGAGGGAGTATTCTTGGGATATTCTTCTCATAGCAAAGCTTATAAAGTGTACAACAAAAGAACTATGTGTGTAGAAGAAACTGTACATGTAGTTTTTGATAAAAGTAATATTCTTTCTGAGAGACAAGAACATGAAGATGAAGCTATTGGGCTGGTAAAAGAATTAAGTGAAGTCACAGCCCAAGCTGAAGCTGCACCAGAAGAAGGAACATGTTCTTCCATCCAGGGCAACCTGACAGGGGGAACTGAACAAAGAAGAACTGAATCTAATTCCCAAATGGAACCGTCCATGAGCCTGTTCCTCAGCAACAGAACATGGGAGAAATATCAAATAGAAACCAGTTGGTTATGAAACCTTACAACTATCAAAGTTCTCATCCTATTGAGAACATAATTACTGATCCAACCTATGGAATTAAAACTAGATCTCAATTAAAGAATCTGTGTGCTTTTGATGCTTTCTTATCTCTTATTGAACCTAAAAATGTTGCTGAGGCTTTGCAGGATGCAGACTGGATAAATGCAATGCAAGATGAACTCAATCAGTTTGAAAGGAGTCAAGTTTGGCATCTGGTTACAAGACCCAAGGACAGATCAGTAATTGGCACTAAATGGGTCTTCAGAAACAAACTTGATGAAGATGGAACTGTTACAAGGAACAAGGCAAGGTTGGTGGTTCAAGGTTATAGCCAAGAGGAGGGCATAGACTATGATGAGACCTTTGCTCCAGTTGCAAGATTGGAAGCAATAAGACTCCTCATAGCCTTTGCAGCACACAGAGAATTTACTCTTCACCAGATGGATGTGAAGAGTGCTTTCCTAAATGGCTACTTAAAGGAAGAAGTATTTGTCAAACAACCTCCAAGGTTTGAAAGCAAGGAGTGTCCAGATCATGTATATAAACTGGACAAGGCACTCTATGGACTCAAACGGGCTCCTAGAGCATGTTATGAACGACTATCCAAATTCCTGCTTGAACATGGCTACAAGAGAGGTAACATTGATAGTGTCACGACCCCAAACCCGGTCGTGATGGCGCCCAACACTAATGCTAGGCAAGCCCGACCATTTACTCTCTCAACCCGAGCACAAAGCTCAAAACCAATTAATCAGATAC